CCCCAAAACCCCAAAACCCCAAAACCCCAAAACCCCTTCTAATAATTTTATTTTTGAAAACGAGTTAATAATTTTCTGTTTAGAAGTAATCTTTACCCTGAGATAATGTGGTGACGGCTTTTAAGTCCAAGGCTGACTCTTTTGTTTCTCTTGCTTAATCCCCAGAGGTACTCATATGGGACTCCAAGCTTATCTAAGAAGTCTTGATCTTTATTGAAGTAAATGGCTGCATCTACTGGTTGCCTGTAGTATTTTTTTTCTTTCTTAATTACAACTTTTGGGCTTTCCCCTCTAGTCGCTCTGCTTCCTCTTGAAGACCTACTATCACGTCTCCTAGAAGGGCTTAAGCTATCTTTTGTAACATCTCTGGATCTCCTCTTACTATGCCTACTGATATGAGATCTATTTCTGAGCCCTCCCATTCTAAGTCTATCATAGTTTCTTTCCTCAATTTCTTTATCTCTCTTTCGTTTTTTCTTCATTTCTTCCTTGTCAGCTTTTCTTGCTTTTCTTTCTTCTCTTCTCTTCTTAGCACTTCTGGTCATGGTCTGTCTGGCCCTAAATCTTCTCTCTTCTTCATCAATGACTGGAGGAATTATGTAGTTGAGCATTCGGAGCTCTCTTTCATAAAGATCTTCATCCTCTTTGATGGCTTCTCCATCAATATTTTGACAAAGAGTTCCGATGCAGAATATACCTAGATCATCTGCGAATTTCTCATCTGCTTGCACAAGCTTGGGGTTGATCTCCATTTCATAATCAATATTAACCATTCGAAGTGTGTAGACTATATTTTTGAAGGGAAGGCCATCTTCATCTTCACCTTCTCTCTCCTCGCTTTGGACAATAGGGATGTAAGGAAGAGTAGCAATGTTGACTACACGAGTGATAGTCTCCTTGATATTCTCATCTAGCGTCTTTTCAGGCTCATCAACAACTCTTTCAATAACAACCACTTGTTCAAAGCAGAGAACCAAGGCAGAGAGGTTGTGAGGCTGAAACTTATCGATATCAACCATCTTGGTCGATTTGAATTTATGATAAACTTTATTTGTTCTTCTTAGGAACACTTTTTCTAAAGGTACCTGGTACTCATGGGTATCCTTCCATGTTTCATACTCAGGCTCAACGGTTAGATTGTTTGTATAATTAAGCTTTATCGTTGCCCTGAATTCAACAGTACGGACTTCATAATGTTCAGGAAATTGATCTTTTTGGTTCTTCTTTTTATTCTTAGGTTGAATAATTTGACCATCTCAGTCAATTTTCCCTTGCTTGTAAAGGTAATCATTGAGCTCTATCAGCTCAATTCTCTTAATAGGCTCTCTGGTGATATCCTGGGTAATAATCATGTTAATATTGGCAAGGATGAGTTTGCATTTTTGGAGTTCCTTAATCTCATCAACTACCATTGTGTCTGGTTCTTTGCTTCTTCATTTAGGATCAATATATTTCATAAGTTCTCTCATTCAGTAAATTGTATTTGGCCCAACAATGTTGTTGATTAAACCCATATTTTGCTTTGTATCTATTGAATACAACAAATCAGAAACTCCATGAGTCTTTCTTTTTAGATAATATTCACCCTCCTTATCAAGAAGAATTCTGGGGGACTCATTAATTATTTCAATCTTATTACCAAAGTTAACGAGGTCTATCATGAAGAAACCTATTGAAAAACGTTTTTCTTCTAACTCATTGCAATTAAGTATTGCCTCAACAACTAAAATAGTGTCCTCAATATCAACTTCATAGAGATGAAAGAGAATTCTTTCACTACATGTTGTCCTAAAATATAGTTTCTCCTTATAATCAAAAGTTTCACAATAATTCTCTCTTGATGTGAGCAATGTCCTACCAAAGAACTCCTTCTTCTTATTTATCAAACAGCGTACAATTGTACTGGAGGTACAGCCTATAGTCTACGAAGTACATCAGGTTTTCAGGAAGCTCGATGTAATTTCATTTTGACAAGGAAATATCATAATACAGCATCTTATTTCTTTATCAGTTCAGGATTAGCAGGGTCCTCCTGAGGAAGCAAATTACGAGGGTTTACAGTACAGTTTATGAGACTACTGTTTTTGAGGAAAATTCTCCATTGATGCTTTCGAAGAGAGATAAGGTCTTCCATGACTGTTGGGTAGGTTAATTAATTCAATTTTATTTGAATATTAAGGGGTTTTGGGGTTTTGGGGTTTTGGGG